TACCCATCAGCCCCTCCACCTTCTGGTACTTTTTCTTCTCTTACCTGATGTCTCACTTTCCCCTATCCCATTTTCCTTACCCCTCACACATCACTCTTTTCTCTCCTTTCCTCCTTATTTCTATGAACTAACATTCAAAGTCCTACCACTATCATATATGTACAAAATCCCTTTCTAACTTTTATCAATTTTGTTAAGGAAAGTCAGAGAGAGGGAAATAGTTTTAAAAATCAAAAAGCATTCCAAGAAATGAAAATGGGAAAAATTGTTGACCATATCATGAACTGCCTCAGTTATCCCTTATTTTTTTTTTTTTTTTTCCATTTCATCTTCTTGGTTTTCCTCCAGAGCTCTGTACAGCAGGCAGAAGTCTGGCAGTGTGGGAGGAGGCATAGCAGAAGCCCAGAAGCCACAGTAAGAATTACCAGGTGTTAGTTCATCACCTGGACAAGAAAGGACCTGCAGATACCTGCTACCTGGAGGACCCTGCCTAAATGTCTTCTTATACATCTGAGTGACTTAACACATCACTGCCCCATATGTCAACTTATTTGATTCTAATGATAGTCAAGTGATAGGAGGAAAAAGGATACCCAACCAAAATCTGGTGTATCCTTTACCTTACTGGAGCCCTTGTTGCTGTGACCACCACCCTGTTCCTTTGGATCATGTGAGCCTGTCCTCTCCACCTCTCTCCATCTTCTTCTCAAACAGTCCTAGTTCAAACAGTTCATATTTCTAAGTAGACATGACTTGGGCTACCCTGTCTTTCCTCTCCACACTCTTCCTTGTCAATTTCAATCAGTTTCCTTGGCTCATCTCCACTTCTAAGCAAATCCCCACTGCAGCACTCCAGTCCCTGTTTTCCAGCTGCACTAAGGGCATCATCACATCACCATCATCATCATCCTGTTAATACATATTTTATGAATACTTCATTGCCAGGCGATAAGTGAAACCATTTATAGGCATTGTCTCATTTAAATTCTTAGTGAGGTATCAGCTTATAATAGGGAACAAAGAGGCTAATAAGGTGCCTAAGATCACACAGAGAGGTACAAAGTACAGATGGAATTCCAAGACTTCCTAACTCCAAAGCCAATATTCTTGACCAGAACAATCTGCTTATCTCACCAGGACCTTAAACTTAATTCATCTTTATCCCTCTCCCTTTGCTCTCCTCAAATGCCCTTATTTATAAGTGTTACCATTATCTTTCCTAACAGAGAAACTCAAAACCCAGCATCATCTTTGACTTCTTTTTATTCCCACATTAAGTGTTTTTAAGACTTAGAGCCTTCATCTGTCAGATCTCTACCGTGCCTCCTCTTCAGTCCCACACCTGCTTCCCTGCTTCAAGTCCTCATTACTCCTCTCCTGAACTGTTGCCTTAATGTTCTAATTTCTGGTTCAGAAAATACAATCACATTTACAGTAGCTCTTCTCAATAAAGCAAGCCAAGGCAACAGGATATACCATGAAGCTAGTCTTCACTGACCCCTCCATATCGTGACCTTTTATAATACTTACTCTCTCTACTTTGCATTTTGGAACTTAATAAAAAGAGTCTCGCATTGTTATTTAACAGTGTGTGTGTGCGTGTGCGTGTGTGTGTACGTATGTATATACATATATACATATATATGTATATATACATATATACATATATATACACACATACGTACACGCACACGCACACGCACACACACATACATACACACATACATATACATACTTTTATCCACTTTAAGGAAGTGAGAGGAAAAAAAAAAAAAAAAGAAGCCAGAATGCCTTTGTTATCAAACAGCAGGAACCTGGGCACAGTCACAGGGACTCAGCAGTGCTTGGTCTCTTTCTTTCAGTTACAAATTTTAAATGCCCAGAAAAGAGACACAATTAGCCTGGCTTGGGTCCTCTGTCCATCCCTCAATCAATGAGCTTTGGCTAAGCAACAGGTCAGCCTTCTCTAAACATGCCATTGGAACCTCTCCTGTATATAGGGCTTGTTTCCAGAAAAGAAGCAGGCATATGCCACCATTCATTCATTTGTTCATTCATTCCATCAACAAATAGTTGGGCACCTATCAAAATATATCAAGGTTCTTTCATGTATGCAAAATATTTAAAACAATACTCTGTCCTCATACTGTTAAAGTCAAAACATAAAATGATAAGAAGTTACCAGACAAAAAGCATAACAATATTCATCCATAAGGACCATCAATTCAATTACACGTGATGGAAAATAATTCACCACACCCACCCAGGATAAATCTCTGATGGTAAAAGTAATCAGTAGTAATGTATACTTGTTCAACAAAACAGGTTTGTGGCAGCACCATTAGCAATAGACAGAAACAAAACTATCCAAATGTCCATCACCAGTTGGTGAGATAAAGTATAGTATATCGACATGATGGAGTACTTTACACTGAGAATGAATGCTCCACGAATATATACAACGATATCAATAAATCTTACAATGTTAAGCAAAGGAAGCCAGACACGAAAAAGTATATAGGATATGATTCCATTTATAGACAGTAGAAAAAGAGGCAAAACTAACCTACCCTTTAGCAGTAGTGACTAGAGAGGAGCAAAGGGAGCCATGTGGGTACTAGTGAGTCTGTTTTTTGAGCTGGGTGCTGGTTACACAGGTGTGTTCAGTTGGCCAAAATTCATTAAGCTGTACACTTTACCATATATGTCTTTTTCCATGGTTTATTATCCTTCAATAGTTTTTTAAAAATAAGTAATTAATGGTTAAAGCAAGCTTTTAATCGCCCTTGAACATTGTCACTATGATTATCCTAGAGTCGCCAATTACTGCTGTCCCCAACCCTACCATGACAGCACCTTCTTAGAGACTCTAAGACACCATCAGCCTTTGGAAAGAGCCACCATTCTTACTGCATGGCCGTGTCCCCTCCAGCCCCAGCTGACTGAACTTCCTCTTGTCTGGAAACTTGGGAGTAGGACACTGTGAAGCTGAGTCAGGTGATGGAGAGTGGTTCATCTAATAAGTTGTATAGATTTGGGGGAAAGAATTTCTGGACATATGCACAGTAATATGCCAAGAAAGCTGGTCTGCAGAAAGCAAAGGAAGCAAATAAACCTGTGGGAGAGAGAAGGAGAAGTCTCAGAGGCGGCTCACTTTCCAGGTCTGACATGCCTGTGTTCCAGCCGTCACTGGGTATCTATGAGATTGCCCATGTAGCCTGACCATTAAAAATAAATAAATAAATGAAAACAAAATGGTTTTAAAACACCTTACTTATTTAAGCGAGTGTTTCTGTTTGTGGCATTTATTATCTCATTTAGTCTTTATAACAACCCTACACCATAAGTACTATTCATTCTCATTTCACAGATAACTTTAGAAAACTAAAGCCCAGAGAGGTTAAGTAACTTGTCCAAATCACGTACCCAGTAAGTGTCAGTGCCAGAATTTGGATCCAACTAGTCTGGCTCCAGAGCCTGAAATCTCAACAACTATACTGCAGTGCGAGAGAAATGCTGAAAATGGCAATGTGAATTATATGTTGCATTAATGGATTTAACCAAGGCTTCTGATTCTGTTAAATGAGTTCAAATGTAGAAATGATACAAAAGATTAAAAGACTGGCTGTCTAAAGAAGGTGGTAAGCATTTCTTTCACAAGAAAATTATAGTTTGAGTTGCAGATATTAGAGAAATATAAAATGCATATTTTGTAAATGTGACAAATTTTTTCAAACAAGGCTGTGTTCTCATACCAGGAAACTTTGCGTAGATTTTGGCAAATGCTCTCGTCGAGGGTCCCCACTGATCACCCATTCTTCCCAAAATGTTACTATCCCGGAGAAGGGGGTT